TGCTCTGTTACTTGCACATTTTACAGTTACCTCATTTTTCCCATGTATGTATTTGAAGAAAGGCTAATATATAGAAAAAAAGGTTCTTAAAGCTCTAAAAGTGTTTGTTTTTTTCCATTCCATTGGAATCATATTGGTTTTGTAGCATTTAACATAACTAGTATGTTGTATTATATATATGTGTATTATACTGATTGAAATTTTTAACAGATTTGTACTTTTTTTAAAATGAAAGTTGCTAGTTCTGCTTGACCAAGTAGTGCAATCATTATTTTTTTTAATGTTGTGGCTGATTTTGAGAGGGATATTCACTAATAAATGTATGATGTATACCAACAGGCTGTGCCCTGGCTCTTGTCTCAGCTTGGACAGGGGCGCGAGTGGCCCCACTGGGTATTCTGGGGGGGGGGAGAGTGAGGCTGGGCCAGCAGTCCACTCAGGAATGGGGTCCCCAGGTGCAGCCCAGAGGAGAGATGAGGGGAGCCTGATCTTGGAAGCGAGAGCCAGCTGGGTCCTCTGCAGTCCAGCAGCACCACAAACCCCCTCAGAGCTGCCACTGAGCTGGACAGTACTCCCAGCTGCCATCCTGGGACAGCATGTCTTCCTGGGTGGCTCCAGCAACACCCCCTGGGTAGCTTCCACCTCCTCCAACATCCCAATTCTACCATGCCCATGCCCCCAGCTATGGAAGGGTGATCCCTGTGCTCTCCTGGCTGGGCAGGAAACCAGCTCAGCCAGGCTGGCCCCAAGGAACTTGGCAGCTCCAGGCTGGGCACTTCAAACTGAGCAGAACAGACACATCCACCCCACATGACAAAAGGCAGGAGCTCCCCAAGGCCCCTACTCCCCCAACCATGCTGCTCCAGAAGGCTCCACAGTGAGGAGGGGAACAGCTCTTCAGGGAGTAAAGAATCTTCTCTCCCTGTTCCAAGGGCCATACCAGGCTCTGGAGCCATCAAGGAGGCTGGTTTACTACAGTTTTCAGGCTTTAGAAACAATATGGTGTGGAGACCTCAGCTCCTCCCTTCCATGAGGCAGTGCAGGCAAGTGAGCATGGCTACCTGTCCAGAAGCAGTGACTAGCAGGTAGGGAAGGAGCAGGCTCCCCCCACTCTCCCTTTGGGCAGGAACACAGTCCCACTCCACAGCCCTGCCCAATCCCTCTGAGGGGAACAGATACTTCCACCCACTTCCCCCTCTTGCCCTGATCCAGGAGTGCTGACCCAGCCTCACCCTGGAGCAACAACCCCAGCACCACCTCCCTCCCCCATGCTGCACACATGCGTTCATCTTGCACCAGCAGCTCTGCTGGCACAGAAATCACCCATTCAAGGCCAGAAGTGCACCCCCACTGCCGTGGCTGTGGACCCCCCTCCCCAGCGCTCGCTTGTGGCAGGGGCACAGGCAGAAAGCAGCAGCACAGAGATGCTAGAGGCAGAGTTTATTACACTACGCAGGCTAAGAACCCTGGGCAAGACCCCACACGGGTAAGAATTGAACCAGCTCTTTATCAAAAAGTTAATACTATAGTCAACCCCATTTCTCCTTTGGTCATTACAAAGCAAGAGAAATATTAAAAGAAAGATATTTATACACAGAGGGAAGCTGAGGAGATTCTGTCCAGCCCTTCCCTCCCACACCCCTCCCAGCACATTCAGGCGCCCGGTCTTCTGTCAGGAGCAGCAGCAGAGTATCCAATCTTCACAAGATGTCAGGTTTTTGGGGTTTTATTATTACTGTCATCAATAAAAGCAATAGTTACCAAGA